GTTAAGTTTATGCGGAAGGACTTGAGATGCACTCATCTTTTATTACACCAATTGAATCGCAATCACTTTCAGCTTGTCTGTCCGTCCGTCCATTTTGTTTTCTTGTGCAAAACCCGGAGTTTTTGAGATACTTTAATGAAATTTATTTCAACAATGTATTTCGGCCCAGGAACGAATTCTCATCTACGACTGTGTTGAACAACTGTAGGATAGTGTACGGTATTTAAGAGTTAGCATTTGCCCACTATATTGATTTTTGCTCTATTTTTTTTTGTTCGTCTGCTAATGAAAGCATCTTTGTAATTATATTTTCACATATGTTTCTTATTTCAATGACTTTCTTCAAATTAATGCCTACCACTTAATTAGTTGACATATGTATTATATAATATGATAATCAGGTAAGAAAATAACCCGAGTTGAATTTTCTTTGCATCTGCACCATTAGATTCTAATTTTGAAATATGGCTTTAAAGAAAAGACAAAATCACTAAGTTGCCGTTACTAAAGCATTACCATAAATAAAAAATATTTTTTAATATAGTAAGTAATCGATGAAATATTGAAACTGAAATGAAAGTTAATAACAGTCAGTCGCCTTTGAGAATAAAAAAAGAACAGACACATATACGAGAGCATCTATAAGTACACTGTCAGTTTGAGACAACAATCCGCTGTGGAATGAATTCCCTACCCGCGAGTTCAATCTTTTTAGTCGAACGAATATCAACATAAATAAATTATTAATCAAGAAACCCTTAAATTTATTAATGTCTTCATTTCTTTCGAAGCATTCTTCTAAGCTTTATTATTTGTCAGCGAAGTGAAAGTGACAATAGTTTCTGTTTTCATTTATTTATAACATTTATTTTATTATGTTTTTTATATCTAACTTGATTTAATTGTTATCCGTGAATTCATTACCAAAAAAAAAAAATATATATATATATATATATACACATAAATAAATAAATATGTTAAACTTTTTTAATGGAAATATTATTTAAAAAAAAAAAATAATTTTTTTAAAATGAAAATTACCATAATTATCACATAAACTTGATTAGTGCGTAAAAACTAGTTTTTTATCATTTCTTTGCTTTTCTTATTGCAATATGTAAAGAAATTTGCATAAGTAGCTAAAGTATACACATACCAGCTATGCATATGCATGCTTGCCCGATTGCCTGCATGTTTTGCACCAACGACCCACTTCAAATTGTTCAGTTGTTAATATTTCTTCTGTATTTTGCTTTTTTTTTCGCTTACATTTTACCCAACGCCCATGCACAGAAATTTTTCTGGTTATTGACCTTTACGCGTGCGTGTAGCTTACATATGGAGTAAGAAAAAAAATGCATTAGAAAAGCAAATTTTTACAAAATTTCGATTCAAACAAACGTTGAAAAAGAAAAAACTATTATCAATGGTTTTGTTAGATCAACTTGTCAATATGGCACGAATCTATTGATCTCCATCGTTTAGATTACTACTTCTAATCAAACATACGCTGAGCGTACGCTTTTGCCGTATTATTACAAGGCTGTTTGACATTTGAAATTGGCTTAAAAAAATGTATGCATATACATTTAAAGCTTGCTCTAAGTCTCTGTGGTGTCAATGATGAAATTCTAAATGCCGTGACATGCTTGGGGATGATTATGGATAATAAGTTATGCTCTGACGCACACGTAAATTCTATATGCCCACCCCAGTCAAAATTAGAGTAATCAAAGATTTAATCATGCCACTTATATGTAATAAGTGTTCGTATAATTAGATATATATTATCCTAGCAGGGATATGACCACATCTCAGGTTATATTCTACATTCTCCAGGTTGTTCCTTCCTTCATTTACTTTATTAAAGTTCTGTCTTTTAACATCTTTTCTTTAAGTAGATCAGTTCGCAATAACCATTCGTTGTTTTCTCAAGTTACGTGCCCTTTGTCCAAACCCTTCCAGGTAAGAGTTATAAGAGCTTATAATTCCCTGCCTAGGGAGTAACAACAGTGTAGATACTCTTATCTCATTTACAAATATAAGCTTTTAATTTTTGGCCGCTAACAATGAGATGAGTATTAGGACGAAAATGTGGTTGTAGTATGTCTTTTATCCTTTCCTACCAGCCTCAGTCCCAGTATTCTTGTCCCTTTTTTTTCCTCTTTACTTTCAACTTTCTTTTCTATTCCTTTAGGTTGTTTAAGAACATTTTGCATTTTAATGTGCTATGGTAGACATTGTAATCTCTTATAATAGGCTATAAAGGCTTCGAGGTTACATAAATAAATTATTTAATAAAAAATTAATGATAAGGAACAAACAAATACATAAATAAATTAAAGATACGTAAAGAACTTTTTTCCTTCTTTGATAGTTACCAAAACAGTAACAGGTCCGACGACGTTTCTTCTTTGAATTTGTAACTTTCCAAAAAAAATATTTACATTAAATTTTAGTTCAATAACTAAAAGGTTCTTTTCATGACACTTTTATTTCACATGTTCAGTTTTCTCATCTTTTAGTACGAAAATACAACATAATCTCTAACAGATAAGCTATATACATATAAAGTGGAATTGCGTAGTTACATCAAACTTGTTAATAAAACAAAAAAACGAAAAAATGAGATAAGCCTTTCTTCTCTATTTAATACAAGAAACTGGCAGCTGCATGTTTTCACGCGATTCGTGATTAGCCGATCGCAAGTAGCACAAAACAGGACACATTTGCTATATATAATGCCACTCAATAAGTGCCCGGTCCGGCAAATGTATGGCAATATTGTTAGAACATCCATATAATTTCTGGATGGTATCAACCTTCAGAAAAACTTCAACATTTTATGACATTTCGACCATTAGCATAGCAGTTACGATTGTTTTAGTGACAGCACTTTTATTGTTGATCCATTGACACAAATCGCATGAAAGCATCCCATTTATTTCGCCTAAACAATGCCAAACAGCGTTCTGAGTCATCAATACGTTACTGTCATAAGTGAGCATTCATTTCGAACAGAGCTTCCTTATGGACAAAAGTTCTTGCAAAATAGTGAATACATTGATTCTGATGTCTCTATCAATCATCTCATGTATTCAGTCTTCCAAAAGGATTTTGTGCAATTTTTCTCTGTTTTCCACAGCAACTGCCAAATTCGTTGAGCATCATCGGTATCCATTAGGTTTTGCTTAAAATAACCAAACCAGCCACAAATTTATTTTTTCGACAGACAAGAGTCGCCGTAGCATCTTCCATGCCAATACGGATTATGAACGTATCTTAAATTAATACACAAAATTAAGAGTTTTCCAGCATTTCGAAAATTGCAAGAGAATCGTCACTAAAACAACTGTAGCTTTTCAATTAACTGCCAGAATGTCATGAAATTTTGATACGTTTCGCTTGAGGGTTGCCACTATCCAAAAATTTTTCATTTCGTGCATAGTAAAGGAATTAGTTAACATGTTTCCGACAATATACTTGCATCCTTTAAATATTAACTGAGTTGCCTATGTTCACATTCGCCAATTATAACCATGAGTCAAGAGCAAAAATATTACCTTGAGGTTTCTTAACCCAGTTTTACAACCATGTGCATGCGGGCAACTGCCGAGAGACCAATGAACGGACAGGCAGGCAAGATTGTGAAATTCACTTTCGCTAACGACTTGCTCATCTCATAAGCTTTTAAAGGGTATTGCTAAGAATTAGAAAGGGAAGGGATGTATTTAAGAGACAAATAATATTTGCCACCGCAAGAGTTATCGCTATCTGAAAAATATTATTTGCGTTGAATCTACCTAGTTGTCTGCCTGTTTAATGAATCCGTTAGAAAGCTGATAGTAACACAACTGAACGGTCAACGTTCATAGACGATCTTAAAAGCTAGCCACATATCAAGTTCAAGTGCTATGCGTCTACAAAAACAAAAAAAAACCAAAAACAAAAGCAGTTGATATTCAAGAATTGCAATAAGGTGAACATAATTTGTTTTACTTGTATTGTATGTCGCTGATAATAAGCGGAAATTAAAGACATCATAAGATGTTCTCTTGTTCGCGACTACGTTGTCGTTCACCCTAACATTTCAAGTCTAAGTGTTTCATTTACCTGTTTGGATAGAAACAGCTGAACGATCAACCAGTACGTTGAAAACAACATTCGATCTTTATCCAGTTCACTTTAAAAAGAAGCATAAACAAACACGTAAACATAACTAATTTTACCGAAAATTTTTTTTATCAAGATTAAAGCAATCAATTTGACTACTACACTGGTAAATTCTAACGTTCTTTCTTTTGGGTATAACAAAAGCTGGTTCTTTTACATAAAATATCTAAAATTACGGTAAACTGTTAAGAGGTTTTCAAAGGCTTAGGGTTAGGTTTTTTTATAGGTTTTTTATAGCAATTTTTTCCATTAGTATAATGGTTTGTTTTGATTGGTAAAACCATTTAAAGATTTTTATTTTTTTTTAATAACGCGTAATGGCATTCACGTGGTTAAGTTTATATCGCTAAAATGGTATATTTGACTAAACTCATTAGAAATTCATTAAATTTGACGTTTTACGATTGAACGGACACCTTCTAAGCAGATGTCACGATGTAAAGTTTAACATATATTGACAGCGCACATCAACGGGGAAAGAAATGTATGATCGTAAGCCTGTAATAAAAACTAATATTTTCTTGCATATATTATAGAGAGAAATGTTTATGGAAATTAAAAAGAAATCAAATATAAATTTGAAAAAAAGTTAATTTAAAATCATTTAAAATTCCGGTAGATAATAAAATGTTAGTAATTAACATAAAATATCTAAAAAATATCTTATCTCTTAAAAATATGCATAAATAATATAAGTTTATGCAAATGTGAGATAAACTGGCATACGCTTGGTTATCTTTTTCAACGTTTGTTAATTTCCTTGTAAATATTATTACCTTGTGGTTGGCTATTTCATATTTGACTTCCTTCTATAATTTATTTTTCAGTGACTTATCCTTAATTTCCCAACGTTATCAAATGGCACCGAGTGTTTGTCAAAACTCACCAAAACTACCGCCACACAACGGTAACTGTAATGGAGCGATATCAAGTGTCAGCATTGTAAATGGTGGTAGTGGCACCTTTTCAATAACACAACATAGCAATTGTGGTGCAAGCAGTATAAATGGTTCGATGGCATCCTACAAGATGTCCAGTTCAGAGAATAGCTGGTCACAGATAACATTCAGTAAGGTAAGCAAAATTAAATTGAAATACTGTACAATAAAAAAAAATAAAAATAAAATTGAAACATTTTCCCGTACCGGGAATCGAACCCGGGCCTTCCGGGTGAGAGCCGGATATCCTAACCACTAGACAATACGGGACTATGACTATACAATGTTAACAGAGCATATTAAGTATATTACTGTTATACCATTTACTAAAACTATAGAAATTTTTCATTTGAGCAAATGCAAAGCAAAAAATAGTATAACACAATCAAGCTATGTTTTATAAATAAAACAAAATGAAAATGTGCCGTAAATCAATAATCGTTGTTAAAGCTTTTGGGAATATTTTAAGTATACTTGCTACACGTAATATGCCAAGTAAGCATATAAAAAGTTACTCTGCATTTGTTTAGAATTGAGAATAATTCAAAGAGTCGGTCTGTATTTGTTTACAACTGAGAATAATTGAAAAAGTCAGTCTGCATTTGTAAACAGCTATTGCATTAGAAAATCGAATAAGAATTTGGAATCATCTGAGAGTAAGGGTATAAGTTTGGAGCTGTTAACAAATACAGACGCTTACTCTCAGATACGACCAAATTCAGACTCGTATTTGCTGCGCTGATTTCTACCACTTTAATAGATTTGCTGCGCTAATATCTCGTTTAAGGCATTTGCAATACCATGAATTTCTTAAAAAATGTTTATGTATTTTGATAACAGTGTTTGTTAGAAAATTCGAACCAGAACACAATGATTAGAGAATTCTAAAAAAACTCTCCTGTTTTTTGTCACATTAGTAAGTTTACCGTTGCAAATGCTGCAAATTACATATGTAAATAAATATGTATGTATGTGTATTTGATTTTCTGGGTTAAATATATTTGTACACAAATTTTTTACATATTTTGTACACATCCATAAATATGTATATATATGATGTATATAATTTGCAGCGTTTACGATAGTAGAGTCTGTACAGTAGTTCCCGTTCTTGGAGTGCATTTTACCGGCATACACGCTAATCCATTATTATGAAAACGGAGTATTAAGCAATCATTAACGAACTTTCTCAAAACTTGGATGCCGCCGTTTTTCGGCCCAACAGTATTTTTAATAACTTTCAAGGATTAATTTATTTAGTCTTTATTGAATTCTCTTCCAAAATGCACTCGTCAACGACTTTTTAATTCCAAATGAAACATTATACTTATATTGGTAAAACCATTATGAAGAATACCTTATATTAACAACCAAACCACCAGAATAGTAGATTTCTTGAAAAAAAGAAAAATGGATATTAAAAATGTCAAAATTCTTCGCCCTTTAGATTGGCTACAATATATTGTATTTATTTAGCTATCATTTATTTCTTATCTGCAGGAAAATCAACGACCACCTGTTTATAATCCCGAAGATTATGTGTTGTCTTTAAAAAAATTCGGTAAACGTCAAAATGGTGCAAACTCGCGTTCGATATATGATACAAATGATTTAAGTCCCAATACCGGGGAAGCTCACAAATCAACGACATTACCACTCAAACATTGCGATTATAAGTAAGCCAAAAAACAAGGCAAATGAATTATTTAGAATAATTTGTTACTTACCTCACTATCCCAGGAATCCTATTCTGTCGCCACCCGTTCATGAGAACGAGATGTCATTACGCCAATTTTCATCTATAACAGATTTACTGACTAAATTGAGAGCCGACTTAAGAGTATCATTTCCTAGGTAAGAAATTCCTTCGATAATTGTAACGACTGCCTTCTCATGGATAACGTTTTATGTTTAGCTTTGTGCAAGAATTTGTGGCCACACCTTCCGATGGCATCAGTTTACTTTTGGAGGTCTTAAGATCTATACAGTTGTCACAGACTACTAATGCTCCTATGAATGCGATACCGAATGCGAACACCATGCCTCGTCACTCACAAAGTTATCAAAGACGAGCTCTATTGGATGAATTGGCCTGTTTGTAAGTATTTCGAAATGGTTGTTTATGGTTTAACTTATTAATCCGTCCCACACCGTTTTATTGTAGACAATGTATAAGTATTTGTTGTTCACGTTCTTTGGAGGCAACAGCCCGTTTAGGTAACACACCGGTGGGCTTAATGCCTTTAGCGGCTTCAGCGACCGGCCAAGGGATCAGGGCACGTATTTTGGCTATGCAACTGATGGCAGCCGCTTGTGATAAACAAGCTTTTGGTCATGGCAATCAGAAATCAGCTCAGGCTGGTCATACCGCCGTATCCGAAGCTATGTCTACTCTACGATTGCGTTGCAGCGAACCGGTACGCTTTCGCTTATTGATGGGCATGCTTAACAGCGGTGGCGGTTCAGGTGAACTACAAGCAATGGGTATAAGGTGGGATCACGAACTTATTTTAAGTATTCTTATACATAAAATGGATTTTTATTCTAGATTTATCAATGCTTTTTTGGAGAGTTCAGAAAATCTGCAGCAGCGTTTATACTTACAGGCGGAACTCTTTCAAGCCGGCTTTGATCCCCACAATTTGTGCAAGGTATTTAACGTTTAACGTTCCGCGTTCATTCGGTCGTGTTTTTTATGTACATTTTATAAAATAAATAAATTTTTGGCAGACGATTTCATCTTCCTCCCCTTGGTTAGATGCGTTACGCAATGAATTGAAACATTTCAATGATATTTATGTTGATATAGACAAAATGATTGCTCAAGCTCGGGAGGCAGAACGTGTACGTAGTCAAATGGTTATATTGGAAAGGAGAGTTCAAATTTTACACGAAGAAAAGGCTGTCCTCACATCCATGGAACGTCGTTTGCAAGAACGATGTGCCGAATTGCAGAGGGAAATTTTTCGCCTACAGGGCGCGCAAAATGAAAACGGATTTAAATCTTTGGACAAACAAGAAGTAACCTTGCCACCTCATATACCACCTAGTAAGCAAGAAGCATCCGAACATGAAGATGAAGGTATTAGCAGCTCTGATACTGGACCATCTCTAAGTCCAGTACCCATATTGGTTTTACCTCATCTAGAAAATGAACCGGAGAAAAATGCAAATAAATCAGTCTCGGCCGATACTATCGAGGCGGCAATGAAGGAATTAGATAACGTGGTGAATGAGGCGGAAAAACAGATTTGCTCAAGTGAAACGAAGTTTACATCAACGCTATCATGCAGCGATACTAAAGAAAAAGATATTGTACCAGTAAACATAGTGCCACAGCCGCCTCGAAAATCTCGTTCGCTAGCTCATCTCGTACCGCATGAAGGTTCCGAACTGGATGGATCTGAATACGGCATGCTTCTAATACAAAAGCAAGTCGAGCAAACACAAGATGAAAGAGTAGCGGCTATCAAAACATTTTTCGATGAGACGGATTACGAGCTGCAAGAAATGGAAAAATCATATCATCGTCCATCTCTAGAGTCGCCAGAAATGCCAGAAACAGATTTGAATCGTACGCAAGTCTTTGCACATAGCAACACTCGAGAATTGTTGGATGTTATAATGAACGCCCGCCATAGCGAAGATGACCCCACCATAAAAGCTTTACGTGAAATTGCTGCTACTAGTGGCGATAACAATACTGATAAAGATCGTGATTTAAAGAATGGAGAGACGAAATGTCATAACTTTACCGAAGTCGTGTCTTCACAAACAAGATTGGCTCAACAATTTAATGGCGTATTTTTCATGACCGGCATGAACACGCCACAAAGATATCCCAAACCAGATTTAACGGCTGCTCTTCAAGCTCGTCGTGTTACCAAGAATGTCGAACGTTTAGAGGCAGCTTTCGCCAGTCACAATGAATCTTACAATCTCGAATGTCTAACCGTCGCTCACAATAATCAATCTCGTAAGAGTTTGACACCATCTCAGCGCGAAAAATCACGCAGCAACCAACAAATATATTTCGGTAGCAATCCTACGTTACGTATTGGCTCGTATACCAGCATTAATCATAATATTAATAATAGCCGACCAGACTTGCTCAATCAAACGAATATTACCACACGAACAAGATCATATACACAGGGAGCAAAAGTAACCGATATACCTTCGGGTTTATATTAAAATAACTTTCCGCAGATTTTTTGTGCAATAATCCATTTCTCTAAAATTTCATATAAATTGTAACCGAATTTTGTAGATAAATTAAAAATTAGTTGTAAATAATCTTCGCTCACCGGATGACCGTTATCAGGCAATTACATATGTCAAATTGGACGAATGGTAACGGGAAAGGTCTGGTGGAAACACATTGGGATAAAATTCGTTAAGTTTAATCATATTGATTTATTTACTTGAGTTCAACGTGAGAGCAAATGCACGAAACGTTCAGTCATATTCCTCGGCTAGAGAAGCCCCCAAAGCTCGCTGAAGACAAAATGAAGGCATGAATTTATTCAAAGCGCAGAAAGAAATTGAAGTACATAAACATGCATCTTAAGTCCCTGAAGAGATAGCTATATATATTTTTCTGTAAACTTGTAACATTCAACTTAGCTCCCCCGCGAGATTTAAAAGCAATTTGTTATTTTGTTTCAAGTTGACTCTGATAGAATTTTGGTCGGTATTCTGGGCACGAAACGCCTCGAGATACTGCTAATTGTGAAAAGGCTTCATTTCGTCCATCGTCGATCGTCCATTTTGCAAGCCTTTGTAATCCAAACCCAATGTAAGCGAATAGGTGGTACCGATATGGTAAATATCTCACTTTATCTGAGTTTTCGGTATTTTCAAACTGAAATTGTCACTTCGCGAAAAATTAAAGAAACAGAAAATTCTTAAAGATATTGACGGCAACACTTTGATCAATCGACCCATGAAAAACTTATGAACTAAGGAAATGATTACATTGTAAGACACGAGCTCCACTTTGAGGATGAAAAAGTATTATTAAATAAATAATTTTTATTCTCTTAAAAGGGTTAAGCAAGTGATCGCCACAATTGGTAATGATAGATTTCAATCAAAACAATTGCATTATATCTTTCAAAACTTCCATGGCCCATAGTGAGATTAACTGCACTTGAAGCAATTGAGAATCTACGATTAGTATGTCAAACAATTTTAACCGGATGTCGCATTTCGGTCTTCCGGTGATTAACGAAAAGAATTTACAAAATATTTCAATACATTAATATACTTAATTATGCCACTAACGAATTTCTTAAATTATTTTATACTTAAAAAAATTAATAATCGAATTAAGTTTTTGTTACAATTTTTAAATGATATTATTTATGCTTAAATGTTAATAGCAAGTAGTATTAAGTTAAATAACCCGAAAATGTTTTTAATTTAATTTATCAAAGCGAACATATCCCTTAATAATTTCTTAATGTCGGCTTTATTTGAACATTTTTTGTTTTTGTATGATTTGTAATATATATTAGAATGGGAACTATCGTGAATCTTTTCCTCTTAACTTTTTTTGCAATTTTTCTACCAGTCTCGCCACTTATGGGCCAATCATCAGATGAGGAAATTGATTAAAATCTTGCGCATCTTGCTTCTCCACAACCGATGTAATAGCAAAAACAACCGCAACTCGTACATACGATCTCATTTCACTAACTCAAAAAAATTTTTAATTTTTTCGAAAAATGTTGTATGAACTTGCAAGGTTTCTCAACATTTTCCTAAAACATACACCTTGAAATGCAGAAGAAGAAGGACAAAATTATTCATGTATATAAGTGATATGTTATACGGTTCACAAAAAACGCCCTCAGCTTTCACCGTTTCCACGAAAATGAATATCTGAAAAAAAGATATGAACCATCACCTAAAAATATCCTATTTTAAAATTTTAATTCAAGAAGTGTTTAGTATAAATATTTGCAGGTTCTGAAAAAATGAAAAAAGCATGCTATCAATCGAATTTTAAAATGGGCGTGAAACGCCAATATCAGAGAACATGCAAAAATGATTACCACTAATTGGTGGTCCACGAACTTGATCTTGGATTTGTAAAGAAGAAAAGTTTAGGGAAACATTCTAAATGAAGTTTTGAAACCACTACTTGGGAAAAACAAGCCGTTCAGATCTTTTGCTGGTTGTATGGACCTGGTGATAGCTTTGAAGTCTAACTTTGAAAGAAAAACCTCCGAGTAAGCAAGCTTTTCCACAAAAATTTTTGTGATCGTGATACTTCTATATAGACGTACAGACTTCGACCAGGAACACATATGATTTTTGGAATCTGCGATGAACACTTTTTTGTATTGCAAGCATTGGGAGTAGATATTCTGAGTTTGTTTCCTTATTGAGCCATAAGATCTAAATAGTTTGAAATGCTAATACCATTTATATATACATTATATCGCGCTCGTTAGGTCGATCTAATAAAAGCAATTTGGTCGCAGCAGCATTTTTACAAACAAAACCACGTCTTATATTTCTTCTTAAGAGCCATGCATTTCGAAAGTGACCAAAATCCATTATCCAAAAAAATCAATCTAGCTATTGTTATATTTACATCTCCGCGTTATCTTTTCATTTTAAAGAAAGTCGCAAATAATTTATTTAAAATCGCTTAGATTTTCTATGGTAAAAATTTACTGGTTAATGAAATGATAAAGTATTTGTTTTGAAAATGACTTAAGTTGCGATTTGAGAATTTCAAGTGGATGTGAAGGATAATATAGAAAAGAATTTTACGAAATCGTTGCCTATCATTTAATATATAAGTTTAATATGAGTTTCAATGTAACTTTAGTCTTAGCAAACAAAAAAAAGATCGCATCGAATAACGACGAAGAAGGCAAAAATTTTATTGAAGAACATGACGCTCCATTAGACCAATATTTGCCATTCCATAATCCTGGTCGCTATTTTAGTTTTCCTTTCGGCTTGCAAACAGCACTGCCTTACCCAAAATTAACCACTTCTATTCTAATATTACCAAACAGAAATATAACAGCAGTTTTGACATGGTCCACTTTGAAAGTGGCTTAAGTCCAATTACAGTCATCAAAATCATATGGTTTTATAAATAATGCTAATTATTATGCTAATTGGACTGATAAATTGTACGTCGTGAGAAACTCAAAAGCTTTATTATTGATAAAGGGAATTTGTTAAAACCCAAAGCTTTAGATATGTCGGTTTTAACGCAAACGAACTTAAGCTGCTTCCAAAATAACCCGTTTATATATTTTTAACTTACTATTATTTTTTTTTAATATTTCATATATGACAAAATTATTTCACACAGTTGCAGACATTTGCGTTTAGTTTCTATTGTCTTCGGTTTATGCAGGTTGGATTCGGTTAGCGAAATTTTAAATTTATTTATAAAATTCTTCAAATCTTTTTTGTTGTTTTATTTCGTATTGTTAGTTTAAAAAGTTTTTATTTTTTTGCTAATTAGTACAAATGCAAGTTTAAATATACAAAAATAATATGAAAAATATTTTATTTTATAACAAAAAATTTAATTTTGATGCATATTATCTAACATTAGTTTAATGAATTTTGGAATATCGTAAATAATAACAAAAAATTTAATTCAAAATAAAGTATCACTCGATTCAAATAATCTTTGTAGTCATTCGATTTACAGCAACATTGTACATTTCTTTTCAAACTATTAGGTAGGCTGAAAATTTCTAACGATTTTTCACTGAAATAAAATTTTTTTTTTTTATATAAAAAATAAACTTGTTATTTTGGATGAGTGACGCTTTTCTGCAATCTCACGAATCGTTACGTGCCGATCAGCTCCAATCATAAGTTGGTCGTCCGATTTAAAACATTTGCAATAGTGTTCTTCCTTGGGACATGTCGCTGTAATAGATTCCATCGAATTACATTCCATATTGCCCCCTGTACGTTGAAGACAGACATACAGGGATACACATCAGAGCGAGAGATATGCTTAAACGATTCAAAATCGATCAGTATAACGAGAGATGAGTCTATCCTAAGTTCTTCTACGAATTGCTTACATTCGGAGAAATTTTAAGTAGCCCGGCATCGGACGTAACCGTTAAGATAAAGCTTTTTGGAAATTTATAAGAAAAAGAAATAAAAATTGTATACAGAAGATTGCATCTATGGTGAGCGTATGTTATGAATCGAGTTAAGGTTAATTTTGTAGGTATCTTTGGTGGAAGACTGTTCTTCTTGTATTGGTATTGTCATAGCTTAGACCTTATGCCTCTATTGGTTATATCATGAGAAGGCCCCCTTAATAAAATAAAAAATTTGCATAGAATTTCGATAGTTTTGCATCAAAAATTTTAAATGGTCTAATTAGGTCGTGCTCTCTACATTTTTTATTTGCTTCTTTCTTGCGTTGAGATGAAGATGTAGTCTTTCGTTTAATAAATGAATAGCAAAGTAGTGATAACTATTATCGTGCTCTAATTATTCTACTCACTTTAAAAATCTATTCCTATTAGCAAATTTGCTGGTAATTGTCGCCAATGAACTCTCAAAGTTATGTTAAATCTGTAGGTTTATGCAGATATTCCGCGTTTTCGAAGCGGCTTTTGATTACGACCTGCGAAAGGTAAGTATGAGTGGTGGCATGAGGATATTTAATAGCGGACGCGGATAAGCAACCCAAATTAGTAGGAACGTAGGAATCTAATAAAAGAGAATTGGTGTGTGAAACTGCTAGCGACTTAATTGAAGGCGGAGAACAAACACGAAAAGAAAATAAACGATGTAAAAGCGATAAGAAAGAAAGAAAACGAGGGCAAAATAACTTTCAGCTACGTGATTATTCACCTTCTCAAGGCTAAAAAAAGGGATAAAAATAATTTTTTTTTTTTTTTTTTCAACAATAACTCCAGGAGTGAAAGTGTTCCATATGCATTTGATTAAAATTTTTGAGTCATTGCAAAATGATGAATGGTTCAAACGACATTTAAATGAGAACCACACTGTAAAGAGAAGTAGGAAAAAGCGGTGTATCATAGAAGCGGTGTATCGCTCTTTGTGAAACGAAACTAAAATACAAGGGGGTAGCGAAATATTTTTGCTCTTTAAATCTTTTTGCCTGTTAGAATTTCTGCTTTTGATGTGCGATGTTGTGACTAACGTTGACGTAAGAAAACCCACCCTTCTTTTGTAAATGCAAGCAAACATTCGGTAAAACATGGGTTTTTCCCGTTAAGAGCATCAGAGGCTGTAAACACAATGAAGCCTAAGTACGTTTTTCGTGGTGGAACTTTAATTTTTTCAAAGTCTTACGCGGTCTTATGTGAACTGAAAAACCCTAGAACGCAAAAGGAGAAGTTTAAAAGTTATTTATCTGAATTATGTTTACATTGCGACAATTTCATTCTTTGCATATTATATGATTTCGCATTTTGATGTATGCGATATTTATTCGATTCCGATTGTTTGCGGCACTATTGAGCATGCGAACCATCAGTTTGGCTTGTCCATGTGAGCACAATATTACTGTTTAGTTTTCCAGCTGATGTCTAGTAAGTTTTAAGTGAAATATGGTTATCTCCTTTTCGCTAATTTAGGCATGCGCAAGTTTGTCTTTCATAGTCCGTCAGCAAAGCAACGTGTAAAAATTAACTACCACAATTAATTTGGAATTGACACACTTAGCTTGTCGCATTCTACTCTCCAACTCCTTTTATTATATGCCCACACACTAGGTCGTGGCATCCACCATATTTATTTTGGAATTTTAACCGTTTGAGTCCTACACGGTATTGAGAAAACACTGTCGAGGAATCCCAATCAGCCCCATCCCGCTTCCCCTATATATGTACGAAAATATCCAAGCAGCGTGGTAGTGCTTGTTTAATTTTATGTCGAGAAATACCATTTTTTCATCACTCCGTCACTTTCATTGCAGTTTGCGAAGTGATCGGACGTATTCTTCCGTATTCTTCAGTTAATAATTCTTTTCATTATTAATAATTGCGTGTTTTAAAATGATTAGACGAAGCAACGCACAAAGTAAGTGAAAAATTAATCTCGATTTACTATTTAATTTTTCTAAGTTTGGTGCATCCCTAAATGGGTATAATGAATCAAAAAAAAAATCTTTAAGCACAAACACAAATCCATGTGATCATATTATTTACGTTAAAAGAAGCTGTGTGATCTACTGGCGTCAATAAATCTGAGCGCTCGACTTCGACAATACGTAACGCACCGTCAGTTGTCCACCGTGCTCGAAATGTGCTGGGTTTTCTCGACATAAAATCTGAACAGCGTGATCACGCTGCTTGGGACTCAAACTGTTAAGGCAGATAACATAACTTCATTTGAGAAATGTACAGAGTAGTTTCAAACATTCTGTCTTCTTTATCTTATGATTAATAATAAGGATACAACTTTGAAGATGTGTGGAAAAGAAAATTTAATCACTTATACACGCGCGGGCGCGGTCTATTTTTTCTGTTTTGCATAGAGTTCTACGTACAGTAAATGTCGAATAGTTGTGCCTTCTATCTTTTACAATTTTTGAGTAATGAGCAAGGGCTCATCAATTTTTTTTTAGAAAAATGGAAAAGGGTTCAGTTTATGCTTCACCATGGACTTTTGCTCTAACCAATTTGACTCATTTTCAATAGCAACCTGCGTACAAAAACATTCAATATTTCTACAAAATTTGCAGTCGATATCTGCAGTTTTGTTATCAGCAGAGTCTCATCAACACATGGTTTAATCAATTCGGAATTTCTTGCTGATCGAGAACATATATACTTTACAGGATGTCTGAAGCTTGCAAACATTATGACAAAATGCTAATACCCATTCTTCAGAAGTGAAAATATTTTAAGTTTTCGGAATGTCCCCCACACAGTAATATTGTTTTCCCTTATAAAAAGGCCAATTCTTCTTCTAATTCCCAGCACAGTAAATTCATGTATAATATTTCCATTTAGGGACAACTATCATCAGACTTATTGCCATTTTAGTGTCGAATTTTTTCGTGTCATCCTCGTCAACCGGTGGCGAAGAAACCAAAACTTACCAAATTAGGATTAATAGACGCCAGTCCGAAAAGTGTGTCGTTTGGTTTCCCTAAAGACGCCATGGTAGAAACGTTGGTTTTTGAAAAGCCAACTCCTTTATCAGAGCTAAATTGGGTTGTGACGGCGACCCTAAGATTACTACTTACAATAGGTACAGTAAAGTCAATAAGGACGAGGTTGGTATTGAAGTTCAAGACGAATCGGAACGTATAATAGTGCGTATATCAATTTGCCAAAGCAGGAAACCGTAACGTATCTGCGCTTGAAAATATATTAAAAAATACGGAGATACGTCGAGGAATTTTAACCGTAATTTTGAGGACACTACAACTAGCCGATACTAAGCTGCTATCGGCTGCAAAGCATCGACTATGGTTGGGATAATCCTTTTGAATCTGGCGGCTATTTATCTCGAGAGGTAGACGAGATTGTTAAAACATTGCTTGCTTGTGTGACTGTTAAAACATTGTTAAAACTATCAGTGGTGGAAAATTTATCATCCCTACAAAAGATCAGGCGGTAAGTGTAAGAAGAAAAACAAGGACGGCTGCGTTATACACTTTAGTTATCGCTATCGTCGTGCTTCTTAAAAAAAATCCACTATTTTTGTTCGATAATCATTGATTTAATTTATTTGATATAAAGGAATTAACACTAAACGTACCATGCGCGGTCAAATAACCGTTTTTAAAATTTTGTTTAAAATTTCTCGCATTCAACGTTATTGTATCATCATGTAGCTTATTGACTTTTCGTAAAATATACATACATCGAAAAGCGGGGAACGAGTTTTTATTGTAGCATCAGAAAAATATTTTGTTTACTATCTACTTTACTAAGATATATACGTTTTTTTTTTTTGAAGCGGTCATTTGACCGCTCATGGTAGGATGAAATGTCGGTACGTTTAGTGTTAACAAGTATTGATAACTAATAGTTTTTTCCGCTTTGTTTTAGTCGCTGACATTTGCAAAAAAAAAAGAAAAGAAAAAGACAAAACCCAAGCAATTCTAGACCACTATTCTCGGGTCTTTTCATACCAAAGTCTTTGATTAATCCTCAGACCAATCGTTCTTCATGTTCTTTGAAGGCAACAGCCCACTTTTATTGTTGTAGCTTGCAGAAATCCTTATTAAAGAAACACTACAGAAACTTAGTGTTCCGAGATTTAGTTGTCACTGTAAATTTCGAGCGCTGGCGAGAAATGAAAAGGAAGATTAAAATGTACACATTTATAGTGAAACTGCAAGCAAAGAAAGAAAGGCGGTAACCGGCTACCTTCGCCTTGACTAGATTGGCAAATTATTGAAAATAAACATGCGCAAGAAAAATCCATGACGAGAAAACACGGCTAATGAAAGCTACATTCAATAT